TCGCTGTTGAACAATTGCTCTGAGTCAAGCAATGTTCTCTCCTGGCTGCACAAGCCCATTTATTACATCCTCCCCAGCCACACTTCTTACTGTTCATCAAAATATTTATGCCATCTCTCTTGTGCCTGGAATCCAACTGTCTATTGTCCTTAAAATATACTTTAATGCTTCCTTGATAAAACATTACTTCTACAAAGATATGTTTCACACCTCACCATTTCTAAGATATTTTCTTGATCTATTCAACTTCCAGGGAGTACTCTCATATTTCCTGAGAATATGTATTTTATACTGATCACAGCATTTTTAATAAGGCAAAATCACTTCCTATGGAAAATGTCTGCTAATCAATACTGGCTACATTGTTGATGTAGTAGGAAAGAGATGGTTTTTCACTTGTGCCATTAGGAAAAGGCTGGACTACTTGACTACCAAGGTCCCTATCACTACAGGAATAGGAGCTGACACTGGTCATGAGAGATAACCCCCTATACATGGAACAGTTCCCACCACGGGATCAAACTGGAAAAAAAAATGGCACACAGCATACTATTGTGGCAACCTTTAATCTAAACTATAAAATTTTACTGTAGACAGTCAAAGATCATTGTACTCATGGTTATATGAATTTTTTCCCATGATCACATTAGAAATTGCCTCACCTCTTCACTGCCTTAGTACATGAACTGTAAAGTTTCCCAAGGACCACTGAATTATGGGAAATGTAAAGTTCAGAGCCCCTGGTTACCTTCAAAGAATGATTTTCATGGCAGATATAAGCAGGATAACATAGGTTAAACAATTAAGCAAGTCTTGTCAGTGTTTCCAGATATAGGCTGTCTATTAACTAAGAAAGCCAGTGTTCAAAAGTGCTGAGAGAGATCTAGATTTGGTTTCTTACTCAATATACAAAAAAAGTGAAACCAAGAAAGACTTCAGCCAAACTGTTAGGAAATCTGTTTATATAGTATAGAACGCATTAAGAGTGAGAGAAATTACAAATGATGGGACTGAGGACATCATGAAACATTATTGAAAGCTCTGGGGGATTTGCCATAAGAATGAAGACACTTTATCCACATCCACACTTGCTTCCTGTGAAGATAGTTATACTTTAAGAAAATGCATTCTATTTAATGCTTTTGCTTGTACTATCCATTAGCCATGTACGAAACATCATATATACTTCAACTGAATAAAATACATATTCTTATAAAACTTTAATGGTGTTAACCTGAGAAAAACTTCAAAGAAGCAACTTGAAATACACCACAGCATTGAATGCTGGTGGGAAGAATGCATGGTACAAGACATAATTTTATACACTCATAACATTCTTCTTTATTAGACTAGATACCTAGAGAAAAAAAATGCACCAGCTTCATAACTAACTTTACAAAGTCAAATTAAATACAAAAACATGTTAAACATGTTTGTATTTTCTAGAAAAGTAATTTGAAACCAATATTTACCTTAAATCACATTCTACTTTTGGGAATATCAATTTCCAAAGATAAATTTGATTTAAATAACTTAATTAGATGAAAAACAAGTTATGCTTTAGACATGTGAAACCTGTTTAACTTTCCTCAAAAGATACACAATCTATAGTTATTGCTATACATTAGATATGACCACAAAAGAGCTCACATGCTAAAACCTAGATCCTGATTTGGTGGTGGAGAGGTGACTGAATCATGAGCCTTTACTTTTAAGACCAATGGATCAATCCAACTGGATGCATTGGGACATGCGTCCTAACTGGATAATGTAGGTCACTGGAGTAGGTGCCTTAAAGGGTATAGTTCTCAGTTTTTACTTAGCATGCACACACAGGCTTACATGCACCCTCCTCTCCTGGTTGCTATGAGGTGAGGTACTCTCTCTTCCCTTTACTCTTCTACAATGATCACACACACAGCATCAGCTTATGTTTCTTCCTACTCTTATTTCCTCTCAAGTTGTACATGGCACACTGAAATAGGCAATGCAGCTATTGTTAGAGAGGTTTCTGAATTAGAAACAGCACATTTCTAACAATTGTGGAGCTACTACAACAAAACTAAGATATAATACTATGCTTCATTAACTAGGTTGTTGTAAATTACCCCTTTAATTCTACAGAATCTGATCAGGTTAATCCAGGATTCACATTTATTAAGACTAGGCTCTGTCTCAAGATGCTATTTTCTTTCTGCATACATGTAGAATAAAAACTAGCGCTGAGATACACAACAAAACAAAAAAGTTAGTATAAAAATTTTTTGCACCAGGCGTTGGTAACGCACACCTTTAATCCCAACACTAGGGAGGCAAAGGCAGGCGGGTCTCTGTGAGTTTGAGACCACCCTGGTCTACAGAGAAGGTTCCAAGACAGGCTCCAAAACAACACAGAGAAACCCTGTCTCGAAAAACCAAAAAAAAAAAAAAAAAAAAAACCTTTTTGGCCTAGTTAAATTCTGTCATAATTTGATATATGTACAAAAATATGGTAGCAATCTTCATATATAGTAGATTCCATGAAGAAGTTTTTTTAGCAAGATGTGTTGGCAAACAGTTATAATCCCAGCCATGAGAAGACTGATGCAAGAGGATATTAATTCAAGGACATTTTGGACTACAAAGTGAGAGATGATGGATTGCTAAGAAAAAAATCTCTTTTAGAAAGTTGTTAATAATTCAGCCATAGGAGGATAATTTATGTTTTTCAAAAGAAATTTGGAAAAGGCTTCAAAAAGACATGAGAGATGCTGATTCTAGTGCAAAGTGTTTTAATAAAGCATGTTTGTTAGTTAATAGACTATGAATCCAAACAGCAAGCTTTTCAGAGCCCAACAATCTGTGTGTCAGATGGGTTACTTAGACTGGGCTAGGAATAATGATCAAATCAATGTACTCGATTTCACACTCCACTAGTATTTCAAAACTTATGCATAAAAAGGACACAAAGAAACTCAAAGAATGAGACATTTTAATGCAAGTTACACAGAATCTGTAAGATAGGGATGGAATGTATTCATCTCAGAAGGCCATAAGACGAGAGAAGACCAACAGGGTATGAAACAAGATTGTCCATTTTCAGAGTTAGCAGCAGTTTCTAATGTTATGACTGACAGTTTAATATACTTTTGGGTTTCTCAGTTTGGAAGAACAAATGTATAAAATAATAATGCCTCAATAAAATATGAAACCCTAATCAGGGAAGAAAGAACATTTGGGTTTCATCTACTAAAAATTGTCTAAATTATACGAAGATTAAAAACATATGCCACAAGAAAGGAATTAAAAAAAAAAGATAGAGTTAAAAGAATTTTAAAAAAATGCAGTAAAAAGGCCAAGGTTTGAAGTGACCTGTCATTTCCCTTGTTTTATGAAGCTATGGATTAAATGTAGAGCCTTGTACACACCAAGCAAGTGTTCTACTATTATCTGTACCATCAGTCTAAAGCTAGAGTTTGGAAAGACAAATATTAGAAATAAAAGTCCTTTGGGAAATACTAATGAGAAAGGGGAAAACCATTTAGACAGCAAGAAGGTAAACTAGGGTAGCATGCAAATAAATGTAAAGAAGAGGAAAAGTATGTCCTCTAAAAGTTTTACAAGTTAATACTGGAAGTACCCTGGAGCCACTGGCAGAATCTTTTCAACTGTGTATGAGGTACAAAGTGTTGCCAAAAACAAAGGACAGGAAACGGAGGGCTCACGGTAAGATTACTCAAACATAAACAAATGAGAACATGTAATATTGGTAGTGTACCAAAGGTATAAACTAGTAATCTAGTCAACAATGATGCATCATTCTAAGACAGAAAAATAATACAGTATACTGGGCTCTAATATAACACCTTAAAATGAAACTTAAAAGTTAAAAAAAATGTATGACTAATTATAACAACATACAATTACAATGACATTTAAACAAAACAAACTAGATGCTCCTTTAGAATAATACAAGAGTACATTTTAAAGAGACAAGGCTGAGAATATTCTAGAACTGTTGAAAGGTTGGTACTTGCTCAATTAATTGCAAGTAAAAGTAAATCCCAAACTACTCACAATATAATAAAATGACACAGGATTCTGTGGCTGCAAGCAGCCAGCAGGAATGAGAAGCAATGAATGAATTCTGGTGGTCTACTGTGAATAACAGAGTAGCCAGCTGATCTACTGCACTCTTAAGAACTGCTATGACAATGGATCTTGGGTGGTCTCAATGCAGAAAAGTGTGTCAAGTAATAAATATTGGGTTTAATTTCATCATTTCACAACATATACATACATCAAAACACATTGTACACCTTAATACTATATGTTGGTTTTCTATTTTACCTTAATAAAGTTAAAAAGAATACAGAAGAGTACAGCATAGAAACAGTTTTGAAACGAATGTACAACTGAATTCTCAAAGGAAACAGTAAGGATCTGATAAGTATGAGGAAATACGTTGAGGATGAAACAACATGATTTAAGTCATATAGCCTTTAAACTCTGTGGTTCTTTGAATGAGCAAGGACCCCATAGGCTCTGTTATTGGAATGCTTGAAACCTAGTTGGTAGATCTGTTTGCAGAAGGATTAGGAGGTATGGCCTTTTGGAGATGTGTCACTGGGAGTGGGCTGTGGTCCCAGGCTCTTAAACACAACAGAAGATCTTACAATCAGGTTCTTCCTACCAATCGACTTCCTGACCCTTCCCCCACCAGATTTAGAGTATAGATATAGAGGATTTCCATTCAACTTTGTGGCTAAAGGACACCAAATTCTGATTTGGAGTCTGTTTAATGAAGGATCTTTGTGCACACTGCTATCACTCAAAAAGGCATCAATTGAGGGTATGGGCCTTTGGCCTGGTGATGTATAGTCTGAGCAATGAGTCAGATCAAAGTCCCAGCTCCCTCTTCCACCTGCCAAGTCAACTCTACTTCACTTTAAAGGGCACACCACTGTCTCTCCATGGTTTCCCTACCCTGCTCTGTTCCTCGGTCAGCTGATGGAGCTTACCTGAGAGAGATTCAGGTGGAAGGGCATTTCCCGTGATATCTCTGTCCTGAACCGTGGCCTCTGGGACCAGTGGCTTATTCTGCAGGGTGTACAGTAGCTGGAGGTAGGCCTGGTTCCTGAAAGGACAGAGTTTGAGTGAAGTGACAAGAGTATCATATCACACAGTCTGCCTGACTGTTCAACCCAGGATTCCAGCCTCACCTCTGCAGCTTATCTTGTTCCTTTCCTGCCTGTTGCTTCAAGGTTTCGAGTTCCTGACTCGATTGGTCAAGCTTCTGCTGGGTTCTCACCTGAAGTTCCTTTACCTCTGCAGATAGCTCTGCCAGACACTGGAGATGCTTCTGAGGGGGGCAAGAGTGCAGACATGACTCATCAAATGCTGCTATCTTGGAGCCACACCCCCAACATCCCCTGCTTAGACAGAGCTCAGGGCTCAGACTCACTGACAGAAAGAGGTACCATATCACTCTGAGGCAGAGGAGAGCCTAGAGAAAAGAGCCCACCTGGTGCAGCTGCCACTTCTTCTGGGCTGCTTCCCGTTTCTTCACAACTACTTGCTTCTGAGGAAAGAAAATGATAACTTCTTAGGTTTGATTTTGGAGACTGTGCTTAAATCCTACCCATCTTACCCTTCCCTCCTCCTGTCCTTTATTGTTTTAAGTCTTCTAGGTGTACCTTAGCCTGGAGATGCTCATAAGCCTCCTGGAGCTCCGTGTACTTCCTCTGGGCCTCTTCTACCTGGGGTATGGCCTGGGTCAGAGCACATTTTATGGCTTCCACGTGATGCTGGTACGTGGCCTTCAGTTCCTTCCATTGCTCTTTAGCTTCGGATGCCTTCCGTCCTAAGACGGGCCACACAGAATGAGAGCGTGAGTGAGGCTGGCCTGAAGCTAGCCTTCAAAAACAATGGGCCAGACGCAGATCTACCTCACAATTTCCTTCTTCAATCATTCAGACCAAAACCTACCACAAACCCAAGCCTACTCACGACTTGTGTCTTCAGAAACCAAAGTGTCTGGGCTCTGGGCAGTATCTTCCTGAGCCAGAAAATTCTGTAGGAAGTTCACTACCTGAAGCTGGCTACAAAGCAGCTTGTCTTTCTTCCGAGAGTTCTGTTCAGAGTGGGGACAGAAGCAGGAACCTCCCTTACCTTTGGGCACTATATGCCAAGATTATCTTCCATTTTGTTCTTCACCAGTGCTGCATGCTTGCCCAATAGTCAATCCTAGGACCAGCCTCTACTGCCTGAAAAGTTGGGTCCCACCCTGTACATACCCTCACAAACTCCTCGAGGATCCGGGCCGGCAGCTCTGCTTCTTCCTGCAGGCCTATAGGTTCTAAAATGCTTGCTACCTCAGCTAGGACCCTGTGGAAAACAAGTGAGACAGTGCTATCACAGCACACTAGCTCTAAAGGATACACACACATGCACATATTTCAGAGACTGTACCAGACTTTCTTTTTGGCCACCAACTGGTCCCCAAATCGTGACACACAGACTTATTATTAGTTACAAATGCTCTACCTTACCTTATGCTTGTTTCTGACTAGCTTTTCTTTTCTTTAACATAAATTAACCTGTTTCTCTTCATCCATGTTTTGCCTCAAGGCTTTTTACTTCCTTTCTTTCTGTCTTACTCTGACCCTGGGCATCTCCCTCTCTTTTGCCCTAATTTTCTCCTCTGTTCTTCTCTTCTGTTCTCTAGATTTCTCCTCCTACTTAGTCTCTCTGTCCACTGCCCCCACCTATTCTTTCCTTGCCTAGCTATTGGTCGTTACGCTCTTTATTAGACCAATCAGGTGCCTCAAGACAGGCAAGGCAAAACAGAACACGTGTTTACATAAATTAAACAAATGCAGCATAAACAAATACAACACACCTCTACCCAGTTAAAGTAATATTCATAGTATAAACAAATGTAACACATCTTTGACTAGTTAAAATAATATTGTACAACAGGAGACTGTGACACTGCTCAGAGTCCCAGCTTGACTAAAGTCTACACAAGGACCTAAAGGGACTCCAGACTGGGCAGATCTCTGTGAGTTCAAGGACCGCCTGGTCTACACAGCGAGTTCCAGGACAGGTTCCATAGCAATACTGAGAAACCCTGCCTTGAAAAGCAAACAAACAAACAAAACAAAACAAAACAAAAAAAAAAAAAAAGAGGGAGAGAAAGAAAGAGGTGGCGACTAAAACTAACCAAGTTTCTAGAACGACAAAGGGTAGGTTAGGGCAAAATGTAATGGGACTGACTCTTTTAGAATACACCACAGGGCCCTGCGTGAGCAAAGGGACAGTCAGTTCCTCAAGGGCAGCACCTGACACAAGGTGACCTACAACAGCCACCCAGAGGTATCACTCCTCAGAGAAGGAGGAAGTGCCCCAGAAGCTGCACTCCTGGAGCAGAGTGACACAAAGGCCCTGGCTGACCGCAACTCCAGAGAGAGGTTGTCACAGTCCCTCAGAATGTGCACTCCCGAATCGAGGTGACACCGCCCCTCAGGGGCTAAACCCCTGAACTAAAAGCTAATCCCTCTGTCAGAGGTCGCGCACTCCTGAACTAGGGCCCCAGCCGCCCGCATCCCGCACTCACTCTTCGGTCGCCTCTGCCCGGCTCTCAGCAGCCTCCATGGCTCGGCAGCAGTTCCCGGCGCGTTTGGATTCTCCTCCACTGCGCGCCGACGCGAGCGATTGGCCGCTGAGTCAGTGGGCGGGAGTCTAAGGAACGCAAGCTTCTTCTCATTGGCCAAGTGCCGACTCCGGCCCGCCCCTGACGCACGCACGCGCAAATGTGTCTGGAGTCTGTGGGCGGGCGGGAGTTCCTGCGCCTGCGCGATAGGAAATCCGGGGTTGCTAAAAGGCCAGAAGTGTAGGACGTTGCGAGATACAGAAATAGTTTATTTGTTTATTTTTACGTTTTTACATTTTCACGCTTTCTTTTTAAAATTGACTACTGCCAAAGAAAGGAGGTAGGGCTGGGGAATATTGATCTCATAAGTAAACCCTGAGAGTTCGAAACACGTTAGCACAGACGCCCGCAGAATGAGCTGGGTCTCCTGTGTTGAGGAGACACGGATGAAATTGAGGGGGTGCAGTACACAGAGTACAGGAGGGAGAGAGAGAAGGCTCCTTCTAGGGAACCCAGGGCCAGCAGGTTCTGAAATGTTCAGCCGAGTACTGAGCAACATCTAAGGAAATTTCTGAAGGGGTTGTTCGAGGTGCTTGGAGATAAAGCAGAGTCTGTATCGTTGCCACATGAATTGGGATTGGTAGACTTTGTTGATGCCCCATGGGAGGTCTCACCCTCTGAGGAGTGGATAAGGGTACTGGAGTGGGAGACAGAACGGGAGGGAGAGGGAACTGGGATTGGTAAGTAAAATAAGTTTTGGGTTTTTTTTTATTTAATGCATTATCAGATAGACGCCTAGGAAGTGTTGCCCTGCGAGTAACGATAATAGTTGACCCTAAACTGAGTACGGTTATAGTGCCACCTAGTAGATTAAAAGAAGGAGTTTCAACAGTCACCTAAATATGTGACGAACTAAACTTCAGTATTGACTATGAAGTTGCAAGTCACCAAGCAGTATGTTCATTTGACACTATCTTATCTTCACTTGCTTATCACCAAGCACGACTGAAAGAAAGTTCACTGCTAGAAAAATACTTCATATGAGAATGGGGATGGGTGCTATTAAGGCAGCAGACAAGCAGCTGTAAGCAAATCTATCTTTATGTTCCAAAGAACGAGTAGAAGTAGCAGAAAGCAGGATGTGGCATACATGGGAGAACAAGGGCCTTCAGCGTTGTTGCTGTTGGTAAAGTAAAACGACTGGTGTTTTGTAAACAAACATTTCCTCAGAGTGCTAAACATGGAATTAGGGAATAAGCCATAATTTCCCAAGTATAACTACAAAATAAATATAGACATGAAATGCATACAATACACAAAGGCTGTAAGAACCAAAAGTAGGAAAAAGGCATCATGATGCAGGAAGTGAAAAGAACTAAATGCCCATATTGTCAACACAATCCAAATTGGCAATAACAAAGAATGGAGTCCCTATATATGGTAAACTAGCAAAGAACGTTGAAAAAATGAAGGGAAAGAAATCAGGTATCATAAAAATCATAGCAGATTGTATTATTTCTTTTTCATGACATATCCATACAAGGCAAATTGTGAAAGAAGAAAGTAGATTAATACTTAACCAAGGGATGTGAGGGGACAGGAAGTAGGGTACAGACAAATTAATTAGAAGAACTGAAAAGGAATAAAGAGCTTTTAGGTGGGGTTAATTAAAAAAGTTCTAACATTAGGCTATGGTGAATGTTGAGCAACAACATATAAGAAAAAAACATTATTTGGAGATGTGAAGCAAAATTAAGTGTAGCCACCCTTATGAAGATATGGACATACTACATTGTACTGTGTGAAATTAGATGGCCTCAATGGCAGATTGAGCATGAAAATTAAGTCAATAAGCTTTAAAACATAGAAACGATCCAAAATGAGCCACAGAGTATCATATTAGAAAATTAAACAACAGCTAGTTGAGACACGAGATCTTAAAACTTGATATACTTGTAACTAGGGTTTCTGAATGAGAGATGATGAAATAAGGAAAAAAGAAACAAATGAATACTAACAAGAAAACTCTGAATTGAAATCTCATTATAAATCCCAAAATTTCCAAAGCCCCTAACATAGTGGTTCTCAACCTTTGTAATGCTGTAACCATGTCCTCAATCAATGGTTGATGCTCAGCCAGAACATTATTTGTGTTGCTACTTCATAACTGCAATTTTGCTACTGTTATGAATGATAATGTAAATATCTGTGTTTTCCAATGTCCTTAGGCAACACCTGTGAAAGGATCATTGGAACCCCCCAAAGTGTTGCAACCTATAGGTTAAGAACCACTGCCCTAACAGAAGAAACACGAATGAAACCACCACTGCATACCCTAATTACTTCATTTCATCCAAGACTGCTAATAAAAAGAAAATACCGTAAACAATTGACAAGAAAAGGAAGAATGTTACATGTAGAAAAAATAATGACTATAGGTTTTTTTGGTTAGGTATAATGCAATTAAAAAGTAGTGGGAGAACAACTGTAAAATACTTTTTAAAAAGGCAAGTCTACCTTGATTTCTGTGAGCAACAAACGGTCTTCAAAATGATGGGTAACTAAAGGCATTTTTTGTGTGGAAGTGGAAGTGATTTTTTTTAGACCCACACTATGTAAGAAAGATAAAATGCATTAATTATATAGGAAAGTGACATATAAATATATAAACGTGAGTATGTACAGAAGAGTAGAAAGCAACAAGTATGGTAACTACATGAGGAAATATGTCTTGTCTTAATATTTAAATATTTATAAAATGTTATTTATACTTTCAAAGAATGGATGTCATCATACACACAGGTTTTTGAAATATGCTCTGATCATAACACTCAAATGACCAGTACTTCAGAGCTTAACATTCCCTATGTATGTCCCATAGTCAAAGCCCAATATTAACTAAGAGTGGCATATCTTATCAGAGAGTGTGGTCCTGCTATTACAGAAGATTTTAATTAGCTTTCTTGACGCACAATTCATGGCAATACAAAGAACACACTCTGGAATAAAAGAAATTCAAATATAGTCTGAGTTCAGCCTCCTAGTACATAGATGACCTTGAATAAATTATTTAATCGAGAATTTGACTTTGTCACTTATTAAGGAGAATAAGGATAGGAATGTTTCTTATAATAATTATGAGAACATTTCTTTTGGAAAACCATAAAAGATATTTTTAAAAGTATCTCCCACCTCTGTTTGACAGAGTAGTGGCATAGAGTGTTAACACTTTGGCTTCTGTGCTGGTCAGTTCCCTGTAGGAGTCTTGTGTACCTGAAAGCAGAAAACAAAAACCTCCCGAAATTTCTTGGAAAAAATCTTTTACAAAGTAGCTTAGGAAATGTTTCAGGGACTAAAACATGAATTAGACTAATATTCCAATAAAGGTGTCTTTCGCAGTTGCAGTAACGTTTACTATGACTCATAACGTTTCCCTTTCAAAGTCTGTTACCACTGGTTTGCCATTGTCAATTTGATCAATATGCTTAAAACTCTAATTTTGAGTTTCACTGAAACCATAGTTAAGAAATAGATGTCCATATGCTTAATATTTATCTAATCTCTGCTCTTGCATGAACCACTACTCAGAAAGTCACTGTTAGTGTAACGTTAGCTACAACTATGCTCCTCTGGAATTTCCGAATCAAGATATTCCATTGTGTTTTAGGAGGGATCTTCATGTTTAACATCTAAATTGCAGATCCTGAGGCAATTCTTGTCTTGGGCTGCTAGTTCCAGATGGATAGATATGGCCTCCCACACTGTTCAATTCCCTATTTAGTCTGTCACTCCTAGTGCAGTGCTCAGCATCTGTGTGATTTGGACATGGACCACCTGACCTGAATTGCAAGCCCCTGTGAGAAATGATACCTTACCAAAAACACATCCTTTCTTCAAATCTACTGAATCCCTCCCAATGAGTCTAGCCCTCAAGCTACTTCCTCTTTGTTTTCTGGCCAAAACACCATTAGGAGAGCTTGAAAGTCAAAGGAATGATTTGTAAGTCCCAAACTCAGTGTAATGTATGTTATGCATATTATAACATTGGTTGCTTTCCACCTAATTTTAAAGGGGTATTGTACTGATTTATCACCACAGATCTTCACCTTCACATTGAAAAGAACCATTTTACTCTCCATAGTTAAAGCAAATGTTTGTTGATTTGGCGTCACCAGTCAACAGCCATCAAGAGTAACCCATAAACAGGGTGTCCTGGGAAAGACAGAGAGAAGGAGAACATCCACAGTTCCCTTGCCTATCTTATCCATGTCTATCTACACTATGGCATTGCGCTATTCCTGCAGAGGTATCCAAGACCACTGGGAATTTTTATTCAATCACAAGAGAAATACACCACGAGTTCTTGGGGGTGAGTTAATAGTTCCATTTATTTTTAAAGTTTATAAAAATGCAATGTGATTCTTTTGGGCTTTCCCCCTTTGTCTCTGCTTCTCACTAAGTGTCCCAAAGCAATTTGGTTTGGACAGTTGTGATAGTTTTCCAACTCTAACTCAAAGAAAAAACATGGTGAGGATACTGATGCTCATTATTTCATTATAATAATATACTGGGGTACTATAAATGATGTACTAGGTATTCCTACTAGTTATTTGGGTAGTTTTAATTTTACATAACATTTGAAACTGTGCCTCACGGTGTTTAAGTTTACCCAAATTTTCTGAGCTCAAGCAGTCATCCTGCTTTGACTTCTCAGATGTCCCCACTGCAGTATATCTGGCTGATTTTCATTTACCAATGTGAGGTAAGTATTGAGGTTCAGTCTTGCACATGCTTTTAAAGTGGTCCATTACCATTTATTGAAAAATTTTGCCTTTTACCTTTGAGTTGCTTTGGAATTTTAATGCAAAATAAAATGGAAGATATTTACATCAATCTAGTCTTGGACTTTGTGGTTATCAGTATGCCCATTTTATGCAGATAGCATTTTAATTACTATTTTATTGCCTTAGTTGTCATATATTTGCACTGATAGTTGAATGAGATCAGTGTATATTTTTGAGATTCATTTATTTTCCTGCAATTCTGTTCAATGATAC